ACCCCCAAAGAGGTACAATAATGGATTCACATCGAGAGAAGGTGGAGAACGCAATGCAAAGTGGCATGTTACAGTGGACATGCCAGCTGTCGCCATTAAGGGACTCTATGGGTAACGTATAGGGGTTATTGGCGGTTGTTGGGTGTGGGGTATGTATTCCCGCCAAGCAAACATGGAAGCGGTCACATTAAAGCGAGTATATAGGGAGTATTTCCGGGGCATGTAAGTTTATACACATAGGAGCCATGGTCTGAACTCCATAAAGGGTGTTATATAAGGTTTATATAGGGGGTAGTAATATTATGGGTGTTATTAGGGGGATACTAGGAGTTGAAACTATCTCTCATGAGTACTCAGGGATCGGTTTTTTCCCCGCAAACACACATGGAAGCCGTTAAAGCTGTTATGGCTCCCTTTTTTCAAGAAGAGTAGTCTCTGAAGAGGCCGTTTAAGGCTTCCATGCTAGCTTCGGGGAGTGTATAAGGGACTGAAGACTCAGGGTATTTGTCTGAGGAGCGGTTGAGGTTGCATATGCCGTGTTCTAGAGTTGTAGAGGACATCCCCACACATCTAAAGACTGTAGGGGAAGAAGTGGCTGTTGTTTAGCGTCCTCGCATGTGAGCTATAGTCTAAACTCCGAGTATCCCCCTTAATAACCCCTGTAATACTCGTATATAATTTCCTAGAAGACGCCCTTAAAAAGTTTAGACTGCAATTTATATGTGTATGAGTATAGCATAGAACCTTAGTCTAGGGGTATCAACGGCCGCCTTGACGCTAAACACCCCCCAACCGCGAAGAGATGATGTACCTTCGATCTGACAGTCCCAATGCAATGACGCGGACCATTTTTCCCCTAAGCCTAAACCGAAACCCTTTATAAACTGAAACACTGAACCCTAAACCCTAAACCCTCAGTAACCCCAAGCCCTACGTCCTGGGTCAGGGGGACTTAAAGAGAAGTCTAGTAATGGGGATAGCTAGCGCATTATTATACTTATATGGCTTTGTAGGGTTTATTCACCTACTTACTAAGTCCCCTGACCCTAAACCCTACAACCTTCACCCTAAATCTAAACCCAAAGCCCGAAACAATAAACCAAGAGGGAGCTTCGGAAAGGCGGCTGTCAAGGAATTCGGGAGTTGCTCAACATAGGGGTACCCTGGGGACCCCGAGCGATATACAGGACTTATGAGGTGATTCTGGGGTCCCTAGTATAATCAATGGTTTAGGGTTTAGGGATCAGCGTTTCTATTTTAATCAAAAAGGCTTCTATGAGGGTGGTTTGCACAACCTGCATATGCGCATTGCCATTGCCCTTGTCTGAGAATCTCATCTTTCTGTAGGTGAGTCTATACTTCTGGGACCATTCCTTTCCCTCCCTGAATCCAAGAAGCCCAAGGCCCAAAGTACATTAACCAACCCCTTCTATACCAAACCCCAAAGATTTCCCCGTAATTAGGCTGGCTTATGGTTACTTGAGGTGAATCCTATAGGGGTAGCCTTACGAAGCTACTATTGACGTTGGTAAGGAGAACCCATAAGCTTAGAGTGCTTGCCTACAGCGTTGACAAAGCCAGCGCACGTACTTGGAGGATGATGGGGATTCAAGAAGTAGGTTAATGATGGGGATAATGGGGCTTATCATAAGCTTATGAACTTCTAAGTCCCCCTGACCTTCCAAGTATTGCTTTGCAGACCTCAGGGTGCAAAACAAGTTTTGAAGTAGGTATTCAAACCCTAAACCCTAAACCCTAAACCCTTTCTAGACCTTGAGCCACAGGGCTTAGGATGCCCTCAGTCACCGGGTAAGCGCTAAAGCTACACCCTAAAAATTGGAACCACAGGGCTTGGGGACTCTAACCCTTAGGGTTTAGGGTTTAGGGGTTTATAATCCCATGTAAGCTCTAAATGTATTCCCTGGAAACCTTAAGGCCTTGACCAACATCCTACGAAAACCCTCTAAACCCTTAAGCCACTAAACCCCGAAACCCTAAACCCTAATTCCTAAACCCCCTAAGCCCTAAACCCTCAAACCCTAAAAACCCTATAAACTAAGCCCTACGAAAACAAGAGCAGACGTTCCAGGTCGGTCAAACCCCTCACCTCGGCAGAGCACACCGCCAGGTGGAAATCCCATTTCTGGGTTTTCAAAATTCGGGGTACTTTTAAAGGGAGATATACGGGCTACATAGGGGTGTAGAGGGGTACCTTTAAAAGGGAGATATACGGGCTACATAGGGGTGTAGAGGGGTACCTTAAAAGGAAGATATACGGGCTACATGGGGGTGTAGAGGGGTACTTTTAAAGGGAGATATAGGGGCTACATAGGGGTGTAGAGGGGTACTTTTAAAGGGAGCTATAGGGGCTGCATAGGGGTATAGGTACAGAAGGGGTAAGAGGGGTATAGGGTTGAAGGTTCTCGGGAGTTTTTGAGTAGGGTTTAGGGTCTAGGATTTTCACCAGCTTTTGCTTGACACACTGAGTCCAGGTGCCCACATAGCATATACCTACACCGCGAAGGACCTAGATGAGAACCCCGTTGGACCCTAAGCGAGTTTTAAAGGCACCCTCACAGCTTCTTCAACACGGTGTAGGGTTTAGGGTTTAGGGTTTGTTTAGGTTTTGGGTTTGTTTAGGGGTTTAGGGTTTGTTTAGGGTTTAGGGGTTTATAGGGTTTGGGGTTTGTTTAGGGTTCGTCTAGGGTTTAGGGGCTTGGTTTTATTGGCCGTCCGATGGTCGTTCACTGCCATGTTCACCCTTCAGGCACTGCGCTCTCACTGCAGTTGATGTAAGAAAGCCTGTATGTCTTAGGAGGACCCCCCACCCTGTTTTAGTGGTATAATAGGAATATAAGAGGACTCTAATAATATAATCCTTATTATCCATTATGGTCACTATGACTGGGTGGGGGGTCCACCTAATGTATGTTCCTTAGAGCATTTTATACTGATTTGGTATTCGGAGTTTCAATGCATAATTGGATTTTGTGATTGCAAATCCCAGAGTTTCAACTCTGTAGCCTGTAGTTACCATATGCGACTATCATAGAAAAAATTGAGGTTACCAAAGTCCTCTGTTGCATTTAATCTCGTTTTGCTATATCTCGAAGTCCTGACCCTAAACTAAACCCTGAACCTTGGGTACTGCCCCCACTCAGTAACAGTTGGATAATAGAGAAAAAACATCATCTGGTTATATATAGCCCTTAATAGGACCCCTAATATAGACCGTTACTGGGGGGGCAGTACCGAACCTGACCCCTAAACTCTGACTCTTAAACCGAGCGACTGGCCCATGGGGTAAAAGAAGCCGAGTGACAAGTCCTTCCAGTCTGCTGCACGCGGGTTTCGACTCCTTACTTTGCCATGGCTCCTTCAGGTTTCCAAGAGTTCCGTCTATAAAAGTCAATATTCCAGCAGCTCATGAAAACCCCTCCCAGGGAACTTTGGGGTGTAGGTTTCAGGGTTGTGGGCCCTTTGTTTCGCCCAAACCTCCAAAACGGCGGAAGCTCTAAACTCTCGCTCCCAACAGAGGCTTTGCAGCCTCCCCTGCTGGAGCGCGATTGGTAACTCGCTCAGCTTTTCATTCCTATAAGGGCAAATCATAGTTTTGGGGCTTAGGCGAGTTTACTTACTCCCTAAAGAATAAGGGCACTTGATCCCTACATAAACCCTATATAATGTATTCCCATATGCCTTACTAGCGCGTAGCTTTGAGGGTTTAGGCAATAGTTTGGAGTTTCTACTCACAGGCTCAGAAGAGAAGATCCCAATTATAGCTTGGTTTAGGGTTTAGAGTTTAGGATTTGGGATTTAGGGCTTAGTCATACCCCCAGTGTAGGTCCCCTCTAAGTCTCCTAAGTCTCTAAGTAGCGCTATAGTTGAGACTAGCCTAGGCTTCTAGGGATGTATAGGAGTTGCGAGGGAATCATGATGGGATCCTGGGTTCATCTTCGAGGATGACGCATGAACTCGTAATGTGAGCGTGATGTTTGAGCTTCAGGACCACCCGGACGGAAATCCCTGAGGTATCATCCAATAGGGGTCCATGTCCCCAACCACTCAGTACTTGGCATTTTGGTATGAATATGTTTGACAGGTTCTTGGTAAGTGTATGATTATTGAACACTTGGACCCTTAGGGATCACCACTTGTCTAACGTAACTTCAGGTAAGCAGGTTTCCGCACATAAGCCTAAAACAGGGCCTTGTATACGCCTTATGCATGGGCTGCAGCATTCTTCGCCCTTGCCTGCCCCGCGAGTGATGCAAGTGTTACAGTTTGGGGCTTTACAAGGGTTCAGGGAATTAGCGTTTACGTTTTACCTGCAACCCCAATTGCCTACAGTTTAGTGCGTAATTACAAAAAACTGCAGGCAATTGGGGTTGCAGCTAGGGAATTCTTGAAAAATAATTGTAGAGTCAGTAAGGGATTACACTAATGGGGGCCGTTAAAATCTCCAGGGATAGCCTAATATTTACACTGAAGCCCTGAAACCTATATAAATCCTAAACCCTGAACCCTCAACTCCTAAACCCAAAGCCCCTGAACCAAAAAACCTACGAGGCTTGGGGACCCACCCGGTTACGCTGTAGGCGCCGGAAATCCTGACAGTTGCCCACCTGGGCAGCGTCTCAAACTAAGACCCCCAAACCCGTAAATCCCTAAACCGTAAACCCCTATTAGCCGAAACCCCTAAACTCCTAACGCCCAAAACCACCTGAACTCGAGTCTTGAAACCATTCCGAATCCCAACGCGAAACGCTTCGCCTTGGAGCCTGCTCTAGCACTAGCGCACAGGTTTAGGGTTAAGGGGCTAAGGGTTTAGGGTATTTTAGATGGGGATTTTGAGGTCCGCAAGACAGGTTAAGGGAGCTGGGATTAGGTAACGCGGGGCTATGTACTACTGTATCCTCCTGGGGCTTGGTATCAAAATCAGCAGAGCAGTATTCTTACTTGGTTCAACCGCCGAAAAAAAAAACCATCCTCGCATGAAGGCATCTACGCAGGGACATGCGAGAGCCTCATGGCGCTCTCCTTCAGAAGGTCGCGTAGGCTCGACAACCATAATTTCGACGTTTGGGGGTTATTACTGGAGCTTTGTGCATGTTTGCGCGTACCTGGTCACCTAAACTCGAATCAAAAGAAGCATGATCATGTTCAGTAATACTTCCAGTTTTGTGGCTGCGGCTTAGGTAGTGTGATTGAGCCCTACGTCTTCGGGATTTTGTGAGGATTCAGGAGTCCAGGAGGTTACATACTCAGATCAGGGCTTAAATTTTAGGGCGAAGGGATTTAGGGGTTGCGGAGCGGAGGGTGAAAGGTTAGGTGCAGGAGGCCTAGATATAGTCCCCCTTACGTAGATCGAATATGGGGTATATAGGGATCTTATTATGGTCGTGGTCAAAGCCATAGTCTGTTTCCTGAAGCTGGACTAGAATTGTTGCAAGTAGCAGGAACAACTGCGGGCTAGTTTGGGCTCGCAGGGTCTTAGTTTTTTCCTGGGCGCTGCAGATATATTTGTTTGTTGAAGAATTCAGGACTACCGTCGGAGGTTCTTGTTTTTGTTGATCCCCTTCCAGTCAATGTCAGCACATCCCCGCGCCGCCCTGCCCCCATATCGCTTGCCAGCTGTAAGAATCTAGGTCTCTTGAATTTCTGACCGTGTACCTTGTTGGTCCTTTGTAGGAATAAGGGATTTCTGACCCTTTACCTTGTTGGTCCTTTGTAGGAATATGGGATTTCTGACCCTTTACCTTGCTGCTCCTTTGTAGGAATATGGGATTTCTGACCCTTTACCTTGTTGGTCCTTTGTAGGAATAAGGGATTTCTGACCCTTGACCTTGTTGGTCCTTTGTAGGAATAAGGGAATAAGATCAATATAACCCCATTATAATAGATTTTCTTATCCCCCCAGCAAGTTACCTCCTCCCCTCATGGAGCCCTAAACCCTGATTTTCAGCCACCAGATTTTCCAGATGCATTGATGTGGCCCTGATTTCTTTGGATGTTGCAGGCTTGGATGTTGCAAGGAACATGGACCTAAACCTTAAACCGTTCAAAATGCAGGGTGGCTGTCCAGTCTGGAGCTGTACCTGCACCTTGTGTCCTCGTCTGGTTGGACATCGGGTTTTGGGATATCAGATTTAGGGTTAAGGGTTTAGGGTTTAGGGAAACTAGCAAGGGGATATATGGTAGTTTCCCAAAATACGGGGACCCCAATATAGACCCCCCAAAATACTATGATCCTTATTATGGGAACCTCCAAAGAGGTACCCCTAATTTTAGGAAAACCCCATATCCCCGATTAAGGTGGCAAAGCTGGGGACCGGAAAGCTCCCTCTTGCGCTTCAGGTTGGTTCTGCCCCACAGGCTTTGTCACATCAGACTCACTAAGGTCGGGCTAGTGCTCAGTACCCCACAGCTTGGCAAACAGACATCTGTATCTTTTCCCAGAAATGACTGGACCTTGAGATCGTAATTGAACGGCGGCAGTTCCTCCAACCTTATGCTTGTACAGAGCCAGTGGCATCAACTTGTATTCTGCCGAAAGACATTCGGCGCCCGCTACATGAGCTTTTCGACACGGACTTTAATGGGCGAGCATACTCGGCGAGAATGAGGACCGCGCTCAGGAATCCTCTGCAGCCTCCCACATGTCCGGTTCCATTGCGCAGTCCTATCATGGTTAGGAATTAGTACAGCAGGCCGCCGGTGAAGGCAAAGCGCCGACGGCGCAATGCCTGAATTTGTAACTAACCCTTTGCTATGTAAGTGTGCCCTAGGCATCTTAGCGTGCTTATCGGTTGGATGGTCTGCAGACAGCTTGCATAAACGCTGAACCCTACAAACCCTCAATTTGCGGAGGCCTCGGTAGCCACCCCCGCTGGAGCGCCGATGCAGGACCTTTGGGAAAAGCCCAAGTCACAAAGGGTTCAGGGTTTGGGGTTGAGGGAGCCAAGTGATAGTGTCGGCATGAACATGGTATACTACCATAATTCCCAATTAGGATTGGGGTGCTTTGGGTGATGCATGTCTTTCTTATCAACTGTATCCTACAGCCGTTTGGAATTCACAAATCATCAGGACAACAGCCCCGCAATTATGCAATGGTATTTGCTTGTGGGTTTACATTTCTAGGGTGGGGGGCTGTTTGAAACACAACTAGGGATGATGCTATTGTTTTTCTTTTCCCTAATCCCTTGTGTTTCGACATATGCTCACCCTGCAGTGGAGGACAGATGCATACGCCCCGCAGCTCGTCCGCAGTTTACTGTTTGAATAAGTTGGTTTACTGGGTAGGCCCCTGGGATATTTAACATTTTCCCTAAAATGGCTTTACTAGGGGACGATGTATGCTAATATTTTTCAATGGGTTTTAGGGGCCAACCTAGTTTAGGGTTGAGGCTCTAGGATGCCAAGTTGAAAATCTGAAAGCATCCTGGTTTGGCGTTCCTCGATGCAAGCTTTTGTCCAGCCGGGGAATGAAGGAAGGGAAAAAGAAAACAGATACTATTCCTAAACCCTAAATCCTAAACACCTTGTATCACCTTGTGTTATTGAAGTTGACATAGGGGCTACTGTAGCGATCCATTCCCTACTATGAACAGCCTTGAAAGCTTGGGAGTGAAGTGGTAATGAGGTTTGGGGCTTAGGATTTAGGGCTTAGGGTTTAGGGCTTATAGGGTTTAGGGTTTAGGGCTTAGGGTTTAGGGCTTAGAGGTTAGGGCTTAGGGTTTAGGGTGCGGGATTATGGATACTCGGAGTCCGGTTTGTAGGTATCCAGTTTCAGGGCTTGTGCTGTATTGGAGGTGAGCAGATCTTAGGAAGTCTTCTGCAACGCGTATAGTTCCTAATATGGCTTCGGGTATATTACAGTAAGATCCCCATATACCCCATATTCTATGTACTTAGGGGGGACTATAGATGCAAGACCGTCTTCCTCCCGTGGGTTACAGAAGGGTTGAAGGGGCCTAGCTGTTTCTCGAACTTCAAACGCGTCGGGTGGCTTCAATACTGGCACTCACGCCGTTCAGGGTTGAGGGTTTAAGCTTTCAAAAACGAGGAGGCCCCCTGAATTCTTAACCGACATCCTAGACACCAAGTCCGAAACCCCCCAATCCTAAACACCTTATGTCCTTATATGCGCACATAAATCTTAAGCCTTGCGCCCTGAACCTCATGTGGCAGTTTCGCAACATAGGGGGACTCAGATATGGACCCGAAAGTGTTATAATCCTTGGGATATCGCCACCTCAAAAAGTACCCTAAATTTGGGCAACCCCTATATACTCCTATCTAAACTCTAAACCCTAAGCCCTGAACCCTGACACCCTCATTTCAGGCTTTGACATGGCACAGTCACCAATGAGGAGGCGCAGAGCAACGGATGCTAATCCAGGAATTTCAAGAGCGTTTAGGGTTTCGGGTCCTTTTTTTAGGGTTTAGGGTCGTGGGTTTAGGGTCGGGTTTAACCTCGTGGGTCTAGGGTCTAGGGTTTAGGCTTCAAGTCATTGACCATAACATCACGCCCCCGACCCCTAGATATTCGGTTCCAAGAGCGAGAATTTGGGTGGTGCTGTCAGGGAAGGGCTTTTTTTTTTTTCAAGCGTGTCCCCTCCTGCAAGCTCCCAACAGCGTGGCCTGCCTTATCAGGCCCTCACGAAGGGACACAATCCCCAAAAGTCCAAAGACATTTCTTTAGGGAACGTACCTTAAATCAAATTAGGGATCCTAGTATGATTTAGGGTCTTTTGCCTAATTGAGGGATATTGAGCTTTCTTGGATTTTGGAGAGATCAACCAATCTAAACCCTAACCCCTAAACCCCTAAACCCTCAACCCCTAAACCCTAAGCCCTAAACCCCTAGCAACGTGTCATACGCCCTAAGCCCTAAATCCAAATTTCAGCATCCTGCTCTAAACCCCTGAGCCCTCAACCCCTCAACCCCTCAACCCCTAAACCCTGAGCCCTAAACAGCATCATGCCCTAAACCCTAAACCTTTTTCGGCCTCCAAGGCCTCGTCGGTGGAAACAGGCGAGGTTGAAACCGTTTCGGCTCAGGATGTAGCTTGAGCCGCGGTTGCAACTGCAGCTCACGACCCTAAACCCTTTAAACCTTAAATCCTATCATCGCCCTACGTAGATAGAATATGGCTATGGGTACATTATAATAGGGTACCCCATATTCTATCTACTTAAGGGGGACTATGGACCCTGAAGCCTGACTCTCTGGGTAGCCCTAGAGTAAGGTAGCTTCCATGTTCCTTCCGTCATCCCTAGAAACTTCCCAAAATATCCCCAAGATAACCCAATGTACCCCAACACCTAAACCCTTAATGTAGGGATCCTTAGGAATTGACTTTGTTTTGCTTAACGCCATGTTTCCAGCTGGACCCTGAGAGCCCAGCCCTAAGCAAACTGCACTCCTCAGCAACAACTTTACCCCAGCCTCCTACATGAGAATCCAAGTGAGCTGTAGTCAAATCTCCTAGTATCCCCCTTAATAGGCCCTATAGTAGTCCTTTATATACTCCCCTATCGAACACCCTCACAGGAGTTCAGACTATAGCTCAAGTGCCCATGACCATCATATTGTTAATCTAGGGGAGTATCTAGGGGAGCATTATAGGGGTTATTAAGGGGGATACTAGAAGTTTAGACATTAGACAATGGCTCATATACAATGTAGATTATACATCTCATGGCTTTCCCAGCTGCCAAACCGGAGATAATGGATGCAAGACCCAGTGAGGTGTTGGTGGGTCGCTGTTAGGAAAGTCAATTAACTTACTATAATAAGGAAACTCCATGGTTTACTACAGACATATTATGGCAACGTAAACCCTAAGCCCTAGGCCCTAAGCATTCTATACCCATGGATAGGATAACTTCATCTAAGTTCCGTATAAACGCTGCCCAGGTTGGCCTCCCTAAACCCTGAACCCTAAGTCCTATAGCCCTAAACCCTAAACCCCAAGCCCCAAACCCTAAACCCTAAACCCTACGTATACCCCAAACCCCAAATCCTAAGCCCTAAACCCATGATGGATGACACGTGCAAGACCCAGCGAGGGGCTGCCCTCCTGTGCAGTGCCTTGCAGTTCGCCTCGCCTCCGGCGCTGTCCGTTGCATCCCTTTGGCCCTGGCCGCTGGCGCCTTGGCGTCGTCTAAACTGCGTGGTTTAGGGTTTAGGATTGGGGTTTAAGGTTTATGGTCTAGGGTTGGGGTTATACAAGGGATATAGGGTTTAGGTTTAGGGTCCAAACTCCTCAGAGGGGGTTATATATGGGCTTTAGGGTTTAGGGTTAGGGTCCAAACTCCTTAAAGGGGGTCGGATATAGGGTTTAGGGTTGGGGTCCACACTCCTTAAAGGAGGTCGGATATAGGGTTTAGGGTCTTAACTCCGTTGGGGAGGATATAAGAGATATAGGGTTTAGGGTCTAAACTCCTTACAGGGAAACCATAAAAGGGACTGTATAGGGGATTAAGCGCGATATTAGGCGTATAGACTATGGCTCATACGCCTGTTCCTCAAGATGATCCCGATCTAATCCTGTCAAATGGAACCCCAAGAATCTTCGGGTAGTCCCCAGATATGGGTAAGGTCCCCGGCACAACCTTATTTCAGAAACCTTCTTGTCATTCTGAGCATTTGGGCAGGTCAGGCGGCGGCTGTTTCATGTCACCGGTAACTCTGTACATCCCTGAAACAGGTACAAACCAGGTACTAACGAAAATGACGTCTTTAGTGTTACAGTGGTACAGCCAGGATCCCAGCTTAACCTAAACCCTAATGTTTGTATCATACCTTTTAGTCTGCAGGAACAACACTGAGGCCCCGCCGTAGGTTTTAGGACTTAGGGCAGGTCGGGGCAGGTGATTACTGGAAATGTCTTGCAATTTTCTGCTACCGTAATTCCAAGATGACATGCGCGATTTTTTCAGAAACCGGTAAGCTGCAAGCCCTCGAGCCTTAGGGGCACCCTCATCGGAGTCCGCATCATAAAGATTAGCGTAGATCATACTAATTTCGGTGTATTTCGGGGGACCCCCCTCCCTAAACCCTAAAATCCTAAATCCTAAACCCTATAATCCCTAAACCCCAACCCTTAAATCCTCTAAACCCTAATCCCTAAACCCTAAACCCCAGGTCTTCGAGGTGCAGGCAACATGCTCCGAAGCGGCGGGTGTTCTTCGAGACCTGTTTCTGCGCAGCCAGGTCGGAGGGGCTGGTTTTAGGGATTTAGGGGTTTGGGGTTTAGGGATTTAGGGTTTACGGCTTAGGCTTTAGGGTTGAGGGTAGGCCCCTGGGATATTTATTTTTTTCCTCATGGCCTTAGTAGGGGACCCTAGATAGGAATTTTCAATTGGGTTTAGAGGCCAATCCAGTAATGGAAAGCGAAGGGTCCAAGTTTAGGGCTTAGGCGCTTAGGGCCTTAGGGTTTAGGGTTTAGGGTGGACTTAGGGCTTAGAGGGTTAAGGGCTCAGGGTCTAGGGTTTAGAGTTTCTAGGGTCAGTAGGGTGGTTGGGTGCGAGTGGGGGAAAGCATAAACCCGAAACCCTAAATCATGAACCCTAAACGCTAAGCACTAAAAAGCAAAACGGGGTTGGGGGGCTTTGGATTAAAAGTTCAGCACAACCTTATGTGAGGTTGGGTGTAGGGTGTGCAGGGTTTAGGATTGAGGCTTCATCCCCCAAGCAAAATCCTCTTCTCATAGAAGGTATGTTGAGAGGTGTTCGGCAGTTATACGGGGCCTTTCACAAATTCGCGCGCCTTCTTGGAAGGTGCCTTAATTACCCTAACGCCTACAAAAGGGACTACAGGATCTGGGGATCTCTTGGGTTACCTATTCATGGAAACCCCCCACCCAAACTTGCTTTAAAGCAGGTATTGCTTATAAACCCGATGGCCCATCAGAAAGCCTGGTTTTTGGAGTGCAAGAAGACACCCGGTTTTGCGCGCAGGGTCTTAAGGGTTTTGCACGGGTTTATTACGGGTTTTGGACGGGCTGGAAATTGGAAACCCTAGCTTGGGTTTCAGAAACCAGTTTTTCATTTTTGCAACACGTGCTTAAAAACCCGGCTCCTGCGATATTACCTGCTTTAAAGCAGGTTTTCAAAGCCCCAGGTAGGGATGGAAAGGGAATATGCAGGAGGAATGTTAGCATGATTTCCCTTGCCCTCTGCTGGTCACCATTAGTGGGTGAGGGAAGTTAACATAAACCTAAACCTCAACCTCCTCGAAGCGAAGCCAGGTGTCCCGATATTTTTGCGGCGCCCCTTGCACTCTTTTTGCTACGAGTTTGGGGTTGAGGATTTTGGCCTTTAGATGCAGTTTTAGGGTAGCTTTGGCTAGGGTCAGGGTTTAGGGTGTAGGACTTAGGTGTATACGGGTCAGAAGGATGGCAAAGTGTAGGATTCAGGGCTTTGCTTGCTTGCTTGCTAGCTTGCTTGCTAAAGGGTCACACGCACAACTCATGAGAGGCATTCGTTATAAGTACTGCAGAGGCTGTACAGAGCGTTGCCTTCCAAACCCTCATATTCGAGTAGCGCAATTCGCCCCATAACCCTGCTCAAGTTGAATTGGCCCCTAAGCCCTAAACCTAAACCCATTAAATTCTACCCAAGGGACACTTCTAGGCAAATCGACTGATGGTTGCTGGTTTTGTTTTGAGGTTCAAGGTTTAATGCTTAGGGTTCAGGGTTTTAGGGTTGTTTGGTTTAGGGCTTGACAATCCACGAAACCCTTATCTCCCGAGTCAAGCCTCGAGAAGCCAGCATTTGGGTTTCCCCAAATTGGGAGTAGCTTTGTGGGGCCCCCCCTTATATGCTAGAGATTTATAGGGTTTAAGGTTTCTCAACATTAGGGCATCTTTGTTTGGGGGATCCTGATCTCATAAGGATATAGAAATTTGAGGTGCATATTGGGGTCCCCCTACATTGGGTAACTACAGGGTTCCCAAAGGCAGCCCGCCTGGGTGTAGCCTTTGCGTTGCTCTTATCTGGGTTCTCTTCCAGAGTTGCTTGGCAACTGGTCACACTTCGGCACCAACGATTTGTGCACAAGAAAAAAGCCGCCCCGAGCACGTTTTGTCAGGAGGAGGGATTTTTTGGACAGCGTAGCCACCTGATTTCGGAAACCGATGCTTTTCCAAACCCTAAGGGTCCCCATATATGCCTATACAGTCGCCCTAGAACCCCACTTTAAAGGGACCCTATCATTTGGGTCCTTGGACCCTTAGGGAAACTGAGGCCGCTAAGTTGGCCCCTTCGATTCGGCAGATGCACGGATGGGCTTGCATGAAGCCATGCAGGCATTGGGGGTTTAGGGTTTAGGGGTTTAGGGGTTTAGGGTTTAGGGTTTGGGGTCCCG